AGCGCAGTCAAAAGCTGGTGGGAGTTGAGAGCAAAGACGGGGGATGGGAGGAGGAGTTAAGGCAAGCATGCAAGGAGGATGAGTGGCTGGAGAAAAACAAGGAAAAGGTGGAATGGAAGGACGGGTTGGGGTTTGTGAACAGGAAATTATACATCCCAGGCAACCTAAGGGAAAAAATGATGGTTAGGTGCCATGGCAACAAGGGAGCAGGGCACTGGGGAATAACAAAAACCCTAAAAATGTTGGCACATCAATGTTGGTGGCCCGGGATGAGGGGTGACACCAAATTGTATGTATCCCGATGTAATGCGTGTGCACAAAGTAAGGCAACCACACAAAAGCCAACGGGGTTGTTGCAAAAGGTGGCAGAGCCATCAAAACCTTGGAGGGTAATTGCTATGGACTTTGTGGGCGAACTTCCAATTAGCCGAGGTCAACGATACATATGGACAGTGATGGATTTATTCTCAAAGCAGGCACATTTCATAGCGCTACCTAAGTTGCCATCTGCAGAAAAGTTGGCTGAGCTGTTTATCAAACATATATATCGGTTACATGGCTGCCCTGACCAGGTGATCAGTGATCGAGGGGTGCAGTTTACGGCCCGGTTCTGGGAAGGTTTCATGCAGTTGATGGGAGTGGAAAGAACCCTGAGTTCAGCGTTCCATCCCATGACCAATGGGGGGGTCGAGCGCACGCAACAGACTTTGGGGTTGTTCCTAAGGACATACACAAATCATTGCCAAACCGATTGGGCTGACTTACTTCCGTTTGCAGAAATCGCATACAATGGAGCCTGTCACGCATCCACGGGGAAATCCCCTTTTGAGATAGTATACGGCATGGAAGTGACCCCTTTGCCTAAGTTGCCGAGCTGGGGGGAAGAGCCGTGGGGAAAGGAAGGGTGGCCAGACAAAATGAAAGCGAGTTGGGAGGAAGTGGCGAAATCGCTCCGAGAAGCCCAACGAAGGTATAAGTTATTTGCAGATAGGAAAAGGAGGGAGGGGGAGAAGTTGGAAGAAGGGGAATTGGTGTGGCTGAGCACCAAAAACCTCAAGTTGAATACTCCTTCCCGAAAATTGTCTCCTAAATACATTGGTCCGTTCAGGATTTCAAATAAAGTGAATGATGTGACATATACGTTGAAACTGCCAAGNGGTCCGTTCAGGATTTCCAATAAGATAAATGATGTGACATATACATTGAAACTGCCAAGGGTTTTGGGGAAGATACACCCAACGTTTCATTGTAGCCTATTAAAAAAATACCAAGGCCCCCTGGATAAAGAAGGAATATGATGTTATCATATAATTCCCTTCCAGGAAGAAGAGGAGGAGGAGGGGGACGTTATGTCAGGACTCGGGTTCCTGGCCTTGGACGTTGGCGCAAAAACCCAGAATCCTGACATGGAGAGCCGATAAGAGTATGCAGCTGGTGGCCTTGGGAGGAGCAGTTGGTGGTTGGCGGGGAACATTGAGCGGGAACGACGGTCGGCGGGAAAAGGGGATTCGAATATGGGGGAGGGTATATAAGGGTTGACTTGAAGCTGTGTGCCAATCCTGGCTTTCGTTGTGTATGCATATCCAGTAGTAAAAGTTCCTGATTGATTACGGATCGGCATCCTGTGTCATTCTTGGGGCGGCTGCTGGGAGCTTACACAGGCTGGTTTATGCATGCAATTCCAATATGCTATCAAATGTAATGTGCACCTCACTTGCACAGAAAAAGTTAAATAGCCTCTGTGTATGCCTGTATATGTTTGTATGTCAAAATTTGGCATTGAATGTTTGCCATATATGTGTACACTGTAATCCGCCCTGAATCCCCTGCGGGGTGAGAAGGGCGGAATATAAAAGCTGTAAATAACAAAATAATAATAAATATATACATATGCCTCTAGAACATGGCCATATAATATATATACATATGCCTCTAGAACATGGCCATGGCCCAAAAAAACCTACAACAACCCACTAATAACACAATTTTTGGAAAGGAAAGGAAATAAATAAATAAATATTGGCATGTGACAGCCCATTTCAAACTCAATACTTCCATGGCTGCTTTTAGCAGAAATAAAAAGACACAGAATACACTCATGCACTACATGTTTAACCTGACCTTTCTGGTATGCTGAACAGGGCAGGCAAAACAATAACACCTCATTTAGTCCAGAATCGATGTGTCCTCAATTACATGTTGGGTGTTTGCCAGTTCTCTACTTGTTTACCTTTGCAACTGTCTCTATGCCAAGCTAGAGCCAATATCAGTCAACATAATTTATCAGATGACTTCCCAAGTTGCCTCTACACACTACGTCCCAAAAGAGTGGACAGGTTTTTCTCTTTGATTCCCCAAGACATTCGCATAGTTCTGGCAGGTGCCTCATGGACGCCTCTCTCACTTTGTTTTTAGCAATAGCCAAATAAATGATGGCAGTAAGCACATCACTCACACATAAAAGAAAAGCTGCAAAAGGAAAGAGTGCTGTGTATGCGGTCCAATGATATGACCTACCCAGTTTCCATCTACCCCAGATGCACAACTGTTCAGAAGGAAGATGTTGATGGATTTTCAGCGCTCTCCAATAAGGGAAGAGAAGCCAAACACTGTAAAGCAAACGGGAAGGATTGCAGCTGTCAACTATCCTAGGAATATCAAACAATTAAAATCTGCAGCATCCTTTTCTGAATAACTTTAGATGCATGACCATGAATGGAAAAGGGAGATGACCTAAGAGATCAGAACGTGCACCAACAGCGCCGTTATCAGCTGCATGGAGGGAGGAATCAATCCAGAGCTTTCCAAACACTTCATTTTTGGTGACACACTAAGACATCCATCGTTTCATGACATGGTAATTCAGTTTTACTAGCAAACTTAATAATAATAATAATAATAATAATAATAATAATAATAATAATCTTTATTTCTACTCCGCCACCATCTCCCTGATGGGGACTCGGAGCGGCTTACATGGGGCCAGGCCCAGACAACATAATACAGCAATAAAATCAAAGCATATACGTCAGAAACAACATTATCAAAATGACATTAAAATAATAATAAAATAATAGTAATAATAAAATAAAATAAAAATTATGTTAAATCAACTCCCTTATAAAAGATGACATATGCAGGTGCTTACCTACAAAGGTGCAGGTGCTTACCTACAAAGCCCTAAACGTGTTTGGGACCCGCCTACCTCCCTAACCGCATTTCAGTGTATGAATCCACACGATCCCTTCGATCATCTGGAGAGGCCCTGCTTACGATCCCACCGGCATTGCAGGCGCGATTGGTGGGGATGAGGGATAGGGCTTTCTCGGTGGTGGCCCCTCGACTCTGGAACTCTCTCCCTAAGGACATCAGGCAGGCCCCGTCGCTAGCAATCTTTAGGAGGAGCTTTGTAGGTAAGCATGGATGTTCCAGTGTGCCTTTCCAGAATAAGGAAACTCCTAGCATTATGTCCTAACGCACTTTATTCAGAGATCTAGGATATCTGCATGCCCACCCTCCTCCAAACACCCCACCTGTCATGCTCAGCACTTTTTAATTTTAATTTTAATTATTACATTTGGCCCGGCCATTGTTTTTAACTGCGTCATTGCGTGTTGTTAATATTCTTGCTTGTTTTTGATTTATTTTGCTGTATTATTGTTGTTGTTGTTTTATTGTTGTATTCTGGGCTCGGCCTCATGTAATCCGCACCGAGTCCTTCGGGAGATGGTAGCGGGGTACAAATAAAGGTTTATTATTATTATTATGCATAAATTGTAAAAATGAAATGCAACCTATCTCACTAAAATATTTCATTTATATTTTAAAAAATATATGATGTATTTCACATAGACACAGAGGATTTTCATTACATTTGCGTAATACACCTACAAACCTCAGCCAGCACGCTAACGTATTGCAACACCATTTGAAAATCTGTGAATCTTTATCCTTAAAGCAGAGTCTTCAACCTACCAGGCCCCTTCAGATACAGAGTACAAACACAAAACACTGTCTCATGAACAAGGAACAGTTTCAAGATCACTTAACTCTTGCCCAGATTAGTTGATGGAGACAATAAATCTGTATCAGGACCAAGCCCAATTGCTTTTAGTGACGCACTTTTCTCCAGGACACCAAGCCCTGCCAGTCTCTTGTGACATTATAACAACACAATGGGGAAAAGATTGCCAATGGAACACACTGCAAAGCTGTTTGCTTGTTTGTTTTGAAGTGGCCTTTTGTAGTTTGGAATATACCGCCTATGTCCCTGTCATTGTGATGCAAACCTTTTGCGAAAAGCCACTCGCTCTTGTTCGATTGATAAAAGGCCCGATCAATTATTTCCACTTTCAGAACAATTTATGTTGTGTATGTGGGCTTATTTGGGCAGCTGGCAGCTAACAAGCGGCAGCTTAGTGTGTGTTTACAGTCAAGAAAGCAAAGCCAACTGCAGGCAAGGCCCAAGTGGTGTGGCATTTACTGTCAATATATCAGGAAAGAGAAAGAAGTGATAAGGAGCGATTGGGAGAAGGACTGGGAGGAAGTTGGATAATTTGCAAACTTTCTGGGCTGAACAAACAATATGCATGGTGATCATGAAATTTTGATTCTTGAAGTGTAACTGGGATTTTAAATGCTCTGATTTAAAATTAAAGAATCTAACTTTCTGTCTCTATTACTTATGTGAAGGCTCAAAAGGAAAAGCAAACAAATGTGGGGAGAAAATTGGGAATGTTAAGTGGGGTTGAAAATTGAAATGCAGGACCCAAGGAAGAATTCCATTCGTACTTCTTCATTTGCAGGAAAAGGAAGCATTTTTGAGGTGGAGCTGAATATACTGGGATTGTTATCCCTGCAGAAACATCAGAAGGCTTTCTCTGGAGAAACACAGAGGATCAGTTCGTACCATGAAGCAACTCACTGAAGAAGCTATAGAGCAATACATCCAGAGTAAGGTAAGGATGGTCCTCTTGTCTTTTGGAACTGGATTTTGTTTTCAAACCCTCAAAGTAGAAATAGCAGCCTTGGAACTTTACTTGGGCCCCAAGTCTAAGAATATGCACAAATATGTTACCTATAGCATGTGGACTGGAGCTGTTGCAAGAAAGTAATATAACTGCTGGGTTATATCTGCAGGTGGATGTGAGGCACCGAGTGGTCTCCAAAATTGTGGATGAAGTGCAGAAAATCATACAGCGGTTAACCACAGATATTAGCAACAAGGATCCCCGTTTCCAAGCAATTTCCAACTCTGGCATTCATAATGAGAACATGAAGGTAAGAGTGGGTGTTCTTTAACAGTGTATGCGTTCAGTGAATGAGTAATTGAGTCAATGCTCAGATCCATTCAAGGGTAAAACCATACTTTACATCATTATTGTCATCATTACTATTAATAACTTTTGTCTGTTTTTTCCCCTTAAAGCTAGGGAAATTATTTTTAAAATCTCTTTAAGAAACAACAACAACACAGTAGAATTAAAGCAATATAGCATACTGCTAAGAGCCCTCTCTTTTAAATCCTCGTTTTAAAACTCCTGTTGGAATAAATAAGTCTTTCCCAGCTAAATGAAGGGGTTTATTCTAACTTCCTTAGAAAGTTGTTCCAAAATCTAGAGAAAGATACCTTATAGGCTCAGTACCTATGGTGGAATGGACAAAAGATCCTCTCCTGAGGCACCCAGTACCTGGGGAGGATCAGATGGAAAGATATAGCTATATGAGTCATTACCAGTATTTACCAAAATTGTGCCCAGAAATTGATCAACAGCTTGTGGAGCTGTTGCAGTAAGGAAGTTGCATGAACCCTGTGACCAATCCTAATTAACAATCTAGTCGCAACACTTTGGGCAACCTGAAGCTTGGCACATGTTACAATAATCCAAACAGATGTTGCGTGGCCAGATCAGCCACAGGTGGAATGTTAGAACTGGCCCAGGACTTCAACCCGTGTATTTAGGGCTCCATTTCCATCCGCTTTGGAAACAGAGCTCCACAGGAGTCCCATGGAGGTCATCACGGGAGTCCCATGGAGGTCATCACAGGGTGAGACTTTGTGGGTCTTCCTTTGGAAATGAAGCCTGAAATCCCCAAAGAAGAAAGTGACAGAAAGCAGGCGGTGGAGGGGTATGGACCTCAATACAGGAGGGACGAGGGATGGCTGGCCATCTCAGAAGATGGCAAAAGACAGGAGGGAATGGGGTAAGTCTGTTCCCTTCGCTTTCCCTCACTTTCCCCCCACTGGTGGGATGAGGTCCCCAGTTTATGCATCTCTCTGTTTGCTTCTGCAAAACTACAGTGCAGCAGCCTTAATGAGACATATGCAGGATTGGGCTGTGGGCAGCATTCATAAAAGAACCAGGAGCCAAGGAAGGAATATATTCCATGCATCTAATAAAGTAGATCCAGTCTGTGAAAGCTTCTGCTACAAACGTATGTATTTCAGGTTGTGTTCAAAGATTCACTTTGTACACATACTCCAGTAGTATATGATAGATGCATACATCTATCATATTATATGGAAGTGCTATAAACATATAAAGTGCTATAAACCAGTTGCTTCCAAATGGGAAGCATTCAAGCAGGATATGAGTACAAGAACACTCCTGCTCATGTGTGCCACCATGCTGTCTCAGTGTCAGGATCCTATGTCTAGGATCCACCATAGTTTAAAGGGTGTGTTGCATTTGACTGCTAAATCTGCTAAACCTTATTAGCTTCTCTGTGAGAATGTCATGGGAGATCTTATCAAGGGCCTTACTGAAATCAGGATATGCTACATCCACAACATTCCCTTCATCTACCAAGCTTTGCTTCCCATCACTCAGCTTCATTATATTATAATGGGGGTGGGAAGAAGCTTCCCTGATGACATTTTTTCCTCTATGTATTTTGTCTCTATGGAAGCCAGGGCTTATATAGGAGAGAAGGGTATGCTGAGAAACAAGTACTTTGAGGGAGCACAGCTGATTCCTGCAGCCTATGAAACAGGAGTGTGAACACAATTTCCCTTCCCTATTTCTCAGTATGAGAAGTAGAAGAAGCCAGGTCAGGATGGGTAGTGTGATTAATCTGGGAAGCAGAAGATGCAAGAGCTGTATTCTGAAATCCATCTTTCTTCTCTGCATTCCTGGTATTGAACTGTGCAGTGCTGTTTGGGATGTCATGTGGAAGTGGGATCTCGTTGTGTGTTAGCCAGGAGTGTCTGTCTGTTGGAGTGGGAAAGTCTAAATGAAGTTCAACATTACTCCCCCAAAAGCACACTAATTGGGTAAGTTCTGCGTGGAAGCTAAAGAATGGTAGGGTATCACTGTTTCTGCTTTCAGGCTGGATTTGGCTCACATTTCAATTCCAAACCTGCATTTCCAGAATGACGTCTTGTCGGAACCACCTTACAGTAACATTTTGGTAAATGTAAGAGGGTTTTGAGCTTTAAGGGACGCAATTCGAATTTTCAGACATAGCTGTATATAGGATGTAGTAATGTGCCTGCTTTCCATCTCTACCAACCTATTCCTTTCTCACCTGGACAGCAGACAGATGAGGCAAAGAGAGGAGATGAGAAAGATAAAGGACTGGCAGGGTAGGCAGAGTTCACATGAAAGCAGCAAGTAGCTTGATTCAGAACGTGGCAGGATTGCATAGTGTGTTGCTTCATGCCTTGGGATAGTTTGAAAAAGTCATACCTCAGAGTTACAGATTTTCTTGGGCATCACTTCAATTAGAAATGTGCATTAACACTTGTTGCTTGATTACTTTGCTCACTAATCACTTTTTTGCCTCTGTTGTATCTCTTGTTTCCCTTTTTGCCTCTGTCAGGATCAGCCAGCCTTACTGGCCAAATGGTCATCTCTACTTCAGGGGAAGCGCCCCTTCCATCCATCCATCCAGGTACAAACACCTTGCATGGATTTTGCCCCAGTTCCCTCATTTCTGTTTTCTGTTTTCAACAATACCTCATTAGATGGACATCGCATTCACCTAAGTCTTCCTGAAATGTGTGTTGAAAGCAGAAACATGGTTTCTAATTTGCCTGCCACCTTAGTAAACCGCATGCCCTGTTTAATTCATAACATGCAATTGAAGACTGCTTTCTTTATTTACTCACAACTAGGTCTGATACGGATAAGGCTCGCTGTGCAAAGGCAGAGGAAGTTAAAAACACCCTCCCTGGGTTTTTCCTGAATCCTCCTTTCACTGGCACCAGTGGAACCCTTCCCTTCTTTTTAAGCCCTCACATATGAAGAACAGAGCATGGGAGTTGTGGATGCAGATGTATGGCTTTAAATCTGTGAGGTTTAAAGGTCTACTGACCTTCTTCTTCAGCTACCCTTAGACAGTGAAATTTCTGTCAGAAAGGACTAAACATCTAAAAAAATTAAAAATAAAACAGCACTATAGATCAGTTCCTTTTTAGGCAAGACCACCCAAATGATTTTTAGTGTATGAGTTTTAAATTATGAGTTTTAAACATTGGACTGTAATTATAAAACTGTATGTTCTTTTAAAGCAGGGGTCCTCAAACTACGGCCCGCGGGCCACTTCTGGCCCACCAAGGGCACTTATCCGGTCTGCGGAGGAGGAGCGCCCCTCCCTTGGCTGGCTCATGCTGCCCCTCGGGCCTGACGGATAGCGTGAGCCAGCCAAGGCCTGCTCGGGGCTGCTCCTCCCTTGGCAGGCTCACGCTATCTGTCAGGCGATGGGCAGCGTGGGCCAGCCAAGGGCAGCTGCTCCGTGTGGCCTACTTGCGCGTAAAGCACCTCGCGAGATGCTTTACACGCGAGTAGGCCGCGCGGGGCTGCTCCTCCCTTGGCAGGCTCATGCTGCCCATCGGGCCCGATGGGCAGCGTGAGCCAGCCAAGGGAGGCTGCCCCGCCGCTCCATGCAGTCATGCCAGCCACATGATCTTGGAGGTGTCTACGGACAACGCCGGCTCTTCGACTTAGAAATGCAGATGAGCACCACACTCCAGAGTCAGACACGACTGGACTTCATGTCAGAGGAAAACCTTTAACTAGGAAAATTGTGCAAGATCCAGGGTGGGAGAAAGAGCTCTTGTCTGTTGGAGGTAGGTATGAATGTTTCAATTGGCCACCTTGATTACCATTTCATAGCCTGACAGTTTTTAGGGAATCCTTTGTTGAGAGGTGATTAGCTGGCCCTGATTGTTTCTTGTCTGGAGTTCCCCTGTGTTTGAGTGTTGTTCTTTATTTACAGTTATAATTTAGAGTTTTTTTTAATACTGGTAGCCAGATTTTGTTCAGACTAGAAATAGGAAGATTTCCCATTCTCTGCTCCTGGAATTACTGCCTAAAGGGGGCTAGAAAGAACCCCCTCTAAGGGCCCTTCCACACAGCAAAATAAGATATGTGCAATGTGCATAGGAATTTTTAATTGATTTTTTTTTAAAAAAACTATAGTCCGGCCCTCCAATGGTCTGAGGGACAGTGAACTGGCCCCCGGTTTAAAAAGTTTGAGGACCCCTGTTTTAAAGTGATCATAAAACCAGTGTTTTAACTGATGTTAGTTTTAAACTGATATTGTGTATGATTATTTTAATCTATTCTTGTTTTCCACCTCAATCCATGGGAAGGGCAGGTAAGAAATCATAATAATAGCTACAATGACTGTGTATCAGAGCACAGGGTGGCACAGTGGGTTAAACTGCTGAGCCACTGAACTTGCTGACCAAAAGATTGATGGTTCAAATCCAGGGTGCAGGGTGAACTCCTACTGTTAGGTCCAGCTTCTGCCAACATAGTACAGGGTGAGGCAGCATAACTTCTTTTTTTCAAAACTTAATAAAACCCATTGTATGAATCAGATTTTTTTATTTTTTTTATAATGTAGGCGCATAACTAAAGTTTTGTTTTACGTAGTTTTGAAGATCAAATTAGGTAGGTGACGTCCCCCATTCTCCACTCTCCATACACTGAGTAAACTGATTTCTGGCGTTTGTCATTACTCTTGCCAGCATAGCAGGCGTTATGTTGGCAATTTCTTCCTGGATGTTGGTCTTCTAACCTTGTAGGGTCCTTGGACGGTTCACAGAAACACAAGATTTCAAAAAACCTCATAGAAAAAATCACAAGGGGCCAAATCTGGAGAGCGGGCCGGCCACTCCAAATCCGCTCAAAAAGTAGGTCTCAACGGCAAAAGCACGCTCCTCACTGTCCCAACGCAGGATGGCGACTGAACTGTGTCAGGACAAAACGTTATACTCCCGCCTCTCGAACGAGACCACTAGCGCTCCGCTACGTCTTCAACCGACTGAATGGCGCACATTTTAAAAAAGGAAGTTATGCTGCCTCACCCTGTAGTTCGAAAACATGCAAATATGAGTAGAGCAATAGGGACTGCTTCTGCAGGAAGGTGATGGCACTCCATGCAGTCATTCCGGCCACATGCACTTGGAGGCGTCTACGGACAACGCAGGCTCTTCGGCTAAGAAATGGAGATGAGCATAATCCCCCAGAGTCAGACACGACTGGACTTAATGTCAGGGGAAAACCTTTACCTTTAGTAACTATGTATCATGGGTCAGAACTGGATAGTGCCCTACAGATGACTGACTAACGAACGAACTACCTAACTGCTTGCTGATTGTTTAGCATAGAGTATAGTGAGTATAGTTTAACTTTGGCAGTGCTTCCCATCTGTGAGGAGGCTGGTCAGCCTGTTCAGACTATTACCCCAGACTCTTTATAACCAGGAGTATGGCGAGATAGAAATGGCAAACTGTTGCTTCTGCTCAAGTCAAATGAGAGGAGATTCCACCTGAACATGAGGAAGAACTTCCTGACTGTGAGAGCCGTTCAGCAGTGGAACTCTCTGCCCCGGAGTGTGGTGGAGGCTCCTTCTTTGGAAGCTTTTAAACAGAGGCTGAATAGCCATCTGTCAGGGGTGATTTAAATGCAATATTCCTGCTTCTTGGCAGGGGGTTGGACTGGATGGCCCATGAGGTCTCTTCCAACTCTTTGATTCTATGATTCTATGATTCTATGATTCTATGATTCTATGAAATGTGCTCCAGAAGCTGTTTTCAGGTACATATAATAAACAAAAAAATGCATGTTTGTCTTATCTATAGTAAAGTGCCCTCAGTATGTCTTCAGCCCTGAATATTTTACTCTTAAATTATCCGTCGGTAGCTCATATAGACCACATAACATTTTTCCTGCTCCCTCTCTTACGATGCTTGTCATGACTCCTGCTCTAACTTTCCCCTTTGTTTTACATTAATGCAGTTGCCTTGTGTAAGTGATACTTCTGGTTTGCTTACTCCTCTGAGTTGTGATACCTCTCTGCAACGTGTTCAATGTTCTTGGAGTAATCTCTGTACTTCTGCATGTAATGATTTTCAGGGTTTTGTTGCTAGCAAATCATGATGTGAAAATAGGGCTCACAGAGTTTAGTGATGCTATTCAAAATATGCAGATTAGAATTAAACTGTTCCAGCACACTGTTGTATTCCTGAAAGTTAACGTTGAAGGAACTGCCCTAAAGAAGCTATGGGTCTGTCGCTTTTGTTGTGTGCCTTTGAGTGGTTTGGTGATCCTAAAGCAAACCTGTCATAGGGTTTCATTGAGATGATATATTCAGAGGCAGGCATGTAGCCGGGGGGGGGGGGGGGCCCGGGGGGGCTTCAGCCCCCCCCCACCCTCCCCACTACCCATTCGCCCTCCCCCACCCTTCCCGCCCCCTCACCTCCGCACCCCCCCACCCGCTCCCACCCCCCACCTCCCCCCCCCCCCACACCCGATGCACCTCGCCCCCCCCCCACCCTCGCCCCCCCCCCCCCCCCAAATTCTCATGGTGGTTCGCGAAAAGGCCTTATTGGTGCATTATTTAAACTGTTATGTTTATTCATATCATGATCTGATCACCATACTCAATATATCCCATATGCATGGGGGTATTGGGGTAATGATACAAAATGTTTGCTAGGCTAGACCCTCTTTCACTCAGACTCAGCCCCCCCCCAAAACTCAGCCCCCCCGAAACCCCCCCTGAAAAAAATTCAGCCCCCCGAAACGAAATCCTGGCTACGGGCCTGTTCAGAGGGGCTTCATCTTGGCCTCTGACACAGGGAGAGTATGACTTGCCCAAGTCACCAAGGTAGGCTTCCATGGCTGAGAAGGGATTTGAATCTTGATTTCACAAACACTCAAGCAACTGCATGATGGAGACTGGTAAAAACCAGAGTCCTATTTTTTCAGGAGCCAGGAGTGCTATACAAGTCTTTCTTTGAACTATCCCCTTTCCTCCTTCTGTGATCATTGCCCATCTTTTCTTTTAGGACTTTATCACATTGGGATATATTCAGTTTCTGAGACTCTGAACCTGATTCCGAATGGATCCTGTCACATGACGTTTGTCCCATTCCATCAGTAATCCATTGAAATTCACCTGTAAAATGATTTATTTATTATTTGAACTTATATGCCGCCACTCCCCTGGGGCTCGGAGCGGCTTACAAGAATGGCTAAAATCTAACAAAAATTAAAAGCAATTTAAAACAATTTAAAAACAATATCAAACATTAAAAGCCTGTCGAAACAGGTATGTCTTACATGCCCTGCAGAAAGCTGATAAGTCCCGCAAGGCATGGACTTCAGGTGGCAGAGTGTTCCAGAGCGATGGTGCCACTGCTGTAAAGGTTCTGCGTCTGGTTGCTGTTAGACGCAAGGTCTTGACACTGGGAATTTCCAATAGATCTTGGTCCTCAGAACGGAGGGATCTCTGGGGTTGGTAGGGGGTGAGGCGGTCCCTCAGGTACATCAGCCCAGACCATGCAAGGCCTTAAAGGTGAGTACCATCACTTTGAAAGTGATCCGGTGCTCAATTGGTAACCAATGCAGCTGTAGTAAGATTGGTGTTATGTGGCATCT